CTCAGAGGAGGTTGAAGTTCATCAATAATAGGAGATGATATAGTTTTATCTACGTCATTCAAAGCAGACTTGGTATGATTTGGATAGAGACCGTGCTCAATTAGTTTGTCTGCAATCTCAGACCGAAAATAGAAGTATGGACTGTGAGCCGACTTCTGCAAATAGGCAGTTTGCTGTATTCTGTAGGCATTGACCAGTGATGTATCAAGAAGCTAGTAGAATAAGGGATACGAATTCTGATGACATCTCTGCTGTGTACTGTAATATGATCTGAGCTGATCCACGATATCAACACCACTCATATGGTAGTTGTAATCATCGATAAATTCTGGAATCGATAGTCTTTTACTTGACTCTGTACTAAAACTTCCACGAACCATGGCGGCATCTGTGCTCGTTTTCTTAGGTCTATATTGAAGCCGCTCCACAGTTCTAGTAATATCATAATAGCTGGTCATGAAGAGAACTGAACTGTTATTCTGCCAAATAAGACAGCAGATATCTCCAGAACCAACAACCTCGCCACTGACATGCCCCTAAGGAAGAACCTGCTTCGCCTCCTCTTTGTCAATTTTTAGAGAGGTTGGAAAACCAGTGCTATCAACCCGAGTCATACCTGCTGCTCCAATTTCCCATACCAATACCTTTTCAAATAATAGAACATTTGTAAAATAGTTATCTAAAATAAGATTCCATTAACAATTAGGAGAAAGAGGTTTGGCCAGTTGCAGAACTCCTTGTGAGGTTGGAGTAAGATCAAGGTTGCAAGAAGAAAGCTGGGTAACACCCTTCGTAGATGAGTACCAAAGAAAGCCGTATGTGTAGCCATGATCACATAAGGCAAATATCTTACATTCTTCTTTTACTGGATTATTTTGAATCTTTAATGTATGATAACTCCATTCACAATACCTTACTACCATCTCATCTATTGCAACCTTAGTACTTGGAAGATAGGATTGCTGAAACCACTGCTGCAGGATTGATGCGAGGAGTTCAAGCTTTTCGTACCAGTGCTTTGAATCTAATTGGACTCAGGGATCAGATACATGAAAGTAGCACTTCAGCTCCTCAAATTGGTTTAGAGACATGCAGTTTCGAGGTACTCGATATTGGTATTTGGTTGAAAAGTGTCAGTATACCTGAAACAGTTTCTTGGATATCTTTCTCCATCTATTTCTTCCTCTTTTAGACCAGTATAGAGCCAAGGCAGGCTCTTTATGCAAACCCATTTTAATTGTTAATCCAATAAATATCTTAAGTTCATCTGCTGTAGTAGTCCTCCATAACTGTGTGTTCTGAAATGTCTTTTTCTTCTTTGTAATGACCGATCTCTTGCTTTCCGCTTATAGATTGGTGTTGACTGCTAGCTGTTCAAAAACTGCTTCGTTCCAGAAGAGTAAAAATATATCAAATGGCTGATGTGCTATATTCTGTGGTATTAAGGCCTAGATTATCCAAACCCTTAGCCTAGTACTATTACCTTATAGATCTTACTACATCTCTACTCCCCCCTCCTACCCACCCCCACCAGCAATCCCAAGTGGCCAGTCTGGACCATAGGTCAGTAGTCTGACAAGTCCGACCATAGTTTTAAAAAGCCTGGGTCAGTACCGTGATGTTCAAAATTATCAAAAGTCACCAAAGCCTGGGGGGGCCCAGGCAACTGCCTGCTCAGATCTTGCAGCAACCTCAGTCAAAGTAACTGGATACTTAGACAAAGCCACCAGATACTTGGATAAAGCTGCCAGATACTTCTGCAAAGTTACCTAATACCTGAGTAAAACTGCCAGATGCCTGAACACAGTTGACAGATGCCTAAGTAGGACTGCTAGATGCTTAGATAAAGCCAGCAGATGCTCAGGCTATTATAGGCCTACACTTTAAGGCTGCCAGTAAACTCCTTTCTTGCAGTCCAGCCAGACTGTCCATGAAAAAGCCTAGAGGAGTCTGGCCATAATGTGAGCAAGATAGACTGGCCTCTTGGAATCACTGGTTCCTACTGGTACTCATATTTACTGTATTTTACTGTCATAAGATTTGGTTACCTACTTGTACTAGGTGAGGTTTGAATGGTATTTGAACTGGATAAAACTTGAGTATTCCAGGCAAATCTCTTGCCAAAACTCTTTGCTTTTTCCATCTTACTCGTGGATGGTACTCTAGTTTATGTTATATGATAACTGATAATACTTGATCAGGATATGAGTTACCTATTACCCTATGATGATCAACAGCTCCAACAGATGTACCAGCTTGCAGAGACTGTGGCTCGGACATGGACTAGGGCGGCAATTTGGGATCATTTCTAGACTCAAGATATAAGTTATATTCAATAACAAGGGTCATTCTACAAGCAGTAATCTTATTTCCGTTTACTAACATTTCTCTAGCCATCCCCGGGCCCATGTTGTTATTTGTGACTAGTATCTGAGGTTTTGTTGAAACCAGTCCGGTGGAAATCTTCACTCGTTTGGGTGGGTGCAAGCATTTATTGGGTTTGATGTTTTCAAGTGGTCTTCGTTTTAGAGGCATTTGGATAAGTGATAATATTAAAGGAGGCTGCGGAAGATATTGAAAACAGGTTGAAAGGTGATGTAGTTGCTAAGCGATGAGCTGAGGTTGAGTTGTTTGCTGATCTGTTACCTTACAGAGATAGTGCACAACATTTTAAACTGGACTGGAATGTCTCAGCGGTTGAGGGGATAGGCTCCGGCCGGGCTAAATCCCCCATAGTTGTGGCAGGCCGGGCACGGCTTCGGTTCAGCCTGGCCTACCCGGCCCGTTGGGAACACTGGGATCTACTGACCCCGATCCCGAAAGGATTCCCACTGTGGAGACACTATTGAGCAGTTTCTTGGGGCTTGTTGTCGTAGATAGGGAGGCTTCGACTGTTCGCTTGATCCACTTCACTCTCCAGGAGTACCTTTACACCTGGCCCAACCTTTTTGGCGCAGCTCACGCGATAATGGCAAAAACCTGCCTCACATACCTCAATTTTCACGCGATTAAGGAGATCCCGCCCACACTCTTTGCCCTCCCTCAGTCTACTCCCTTCCTCATATATTCTTCCTTCTACTGGGGGGTCCACGCTAGGAAAGATGCTTCAAGCGACATTGTATCACTTGAGCCCAAGCCTTTTACCCAGATTGAAAGCCATATATCTACCAAGTTCCTTTTGGCTTATCTCATCTTGAAGACCAGTCGATATATTGGTGATATCCCTGTCAACGATCATCTGGTTGGGTTTACTAGCCAGCATTGTGCATCAGTTTTCGGCATTGTGGAGATCGCAACTCCTCTCATGGGTCAATCAAACCCCGATCTCAATAATACGGATTTTCTCGGTATTACGCCGCTCATATGGGCTGCTCTGTGCAGGCAAGAGGAGATAGCAAAACTGCTATTAGAACAGCATACTGTCATTCCCGACAAACCGGATAATTGCTTTCGTCGAACAGCACTCTCATGGACCGCTAGGAAGGGGCATGCGGGAATTGTGGGCCTATTTCTTGGCCTGGGATCTGCCAAGCCTGATGGCACAGATGGTTGGTAGGGTAAGACACCTGGGTGATGAATATGATTCTTGGAAGGAGATATCTCAACTCGAACAGGACAAATATGGTCAAACGCCATTTGTTGTTGGCAGTTGGTGTGGTTATCGTGTTCTGTTATCTGTTCTCTCATGAACTCTGGGCATATATCCGGCTGAGGTAGGCGTATTAGACTTCCCCGCAGAACAGGCTTCGAGCTAGTGCTACTACGGTTCTAGTTTCCAGTATTCCGAGAAAGTGGTTGATGGTTGAGGAGCTGGTTGGGCTGTACAATGTGTTTCCTGGTTGAGTTCGGAATGTTTGGATTAACCAGTAGGTCTTCCCTTCTGGCCGATAGGGCTCGGCTCACCATGTTGGTGATTATGAGGAGCTTCAGGGGAGCGTCGGGGAGAGAGATAAACTCGCCAAAAATCTTGAAGCTGCGGAAACGGAATTAATTGAAATAGCCAAGAAGAAGCAAATGAAGGAATTAAGCTAGAAGGATAGTTCCTCCACGGAAAAAGCACAGATTACCGATGCAGTGGCGGCGGAAGGGGGTATTGCCAGCGGACCTGTCTTATCTTGTGGGAATCCCCACCAGATCCCCCAAGATCTCCAAGATCACAGGCGTGACAAGAGACCCAATAAAAGCTGGTCGAGGTTTACTAAGGTCGGTCCCATCAGAGCTGTCCATGATAGGTTCCACAGACTCGGGCACGGCGTGATCGGTGGCGTTAGCACTATAACTGGTAGCGTAAGGCGGTTGAGTGGTCAGGTGGAAGATCACATGCCTAGTGAGGCATACGGATATCAAGCGGGTGGCGACGAACCTCCTGTTGCTGGTAAAAAACCGTCCCAGCAACTTCGGAAAACTGGTGAAACTCGGAAACCCGAAACTGGCGAGGACAGCACACAGAGAGAAAGAGGGGATCAACACTTGCTCGCAATGAAGCTGTGTCCAGGGAGAATGGCAACGGCAGTCCTCGACGGACTTGGACCCTACCTACCACTGATCGAGTAATACCGGCGTTGCCAATCCCCACCCTATGGGAAGTCAGCAGGCAGCAGTCGACGCACCTCCTCGATGGACTTTTGGAAAAAAAGACCTAATGTCTGTGACGATCATGAGAACGGCGATGATGATGAAATCCCTTTCAACTACAGTTCACCTACATTACCGCATACGACTCATTCTATGGATTTACCAGCCAAAGGCCGCTGCAAGGAATATCCCAAGGCTTTCAACGAGACGTACACTGACGACAAGGACGGAGACCCCACGCATTGGGAAGAAGGTGGACATAATTTACTATTGTCGGAAGGAAGTTTCCCGTCTCAATGTTGAGATAGAGAAGGACCAGAGCACGCCCGAAAAGTACCCACTCATGAACTTTGCTTTTATCTAATTCAACCAGCAAGTTGCCGCAGATATGGCCTGTCAGTCGCTTTTTCATCACATCCCGCACCATGTGCCCTTACCACATTGATGTCTCTCCCGATGACGTCAACTTGTCCAATATGAAGATTTCTTGGTGGCAGAGGTATTTGCGCATTGCCGGTATTACTATAGCCACCGGTGGTTTGATCGTTGGATGGGCTTTCCCGGTTGAGATTGTTGGTTTGGTTTCTCAGATTGATTATCTCACAGAAATGGTTCTAAGGCTGTGGCTTGATAAGCTTCCCAACTTTTTTCTTGGTCTGATTCAAGGTATTTCACCTCCAATGGATTTGGCAATCCCGGTAGCATTGTTACCCATTATCCTTCATGCATTTCCGAAGCTTCAGGGAAAATCACACTGGTATGGCCATCGCGAGGGCCGTTCAGGGAATGTATTTTGCTTCCCTGTTTATTCAGATTTTCCTCATTGTCAATTTCTCATCCGGTATTACTACCGTTCTCAGAAATTAGCAGATAACACTGAATCTGCGCCATCAATTTTGGCCCAGAACCTACCGAAGGCATCCAACCTCTTCTCTCAGAACCTGCTACTACAAGCATTCACTGTCAGTGGTGGAACAATTCTACAAATTGGGACATTACTCGTACAATTCATTCTTAGTCCAATTGTTGACTGTACTGCTCGTCAGGAGTTTGTCCGGGTGGCACGGCTTGCGCAGGCGAAATGGGGCACTTTCTTCCCGGTACATGTGAATTTGGCGTGCGTTGGGGTTGTTCACTCAGCCATCTCCCCATTGGCTCTCATCTTCAATGTCTGCACATTCAGTCTTTTCTGGATAGTATATCGTTATATCTTCTCTATGCCAACAACTTTCGCTTCGATACAGGAGGTTTGCTCTTCCCCAGCGCGGTCAACCAGTTGTTTACAGGAATATATGTTATAGAGGTTTGTTTGATTGGTCTCTTCTTCCTTGTCCGGGATACCAAAGATCGTGTTGTTTGCTTTCCGCAAGCAATCACCCTGATCGTCGTCACAATATTTACCGTCCTATACACTTTGAACTTGGCCTTCGGTCCATTGTTAACCCACTTGCCCATTACTCTGGAAGATGACGCTTTTCTCCACGATGAAGCATTGGCGAATGATAACGAAAGGCGAAGACTGTTGGCTAGCGGCAACATCATTCCAGAGGAGCAAGAATGCGACGATCGGAATGACGTTTTTGCAGAGTGGGAAAAGCGAGAGAGGCGCATGGATCAGCGTGCGGATGAGATTGAAATGCGGAAAATCCGCAAAGTCCGCAAAAAGAGGAAGGAAGGAAAGTCATCTTTCTCACGAGGTGGAAGACAAGCCGAGGGGCCAGACGTCGGAGACCCACAAATGCAATCGCGTCCTCCACCGCCAGAGCAACAGCCGCATACTAGACCAGAGCTAATATTTTTTGAAGACATTTACCGATCAGATTGAAGACCTGTCACCGGCAGAACAGGATATGCTCCTTGGTATGGCATTCCAACAGAAGGCCCTGCGTGCGCAACTCCTAGTGACCCGGATACTAGGAGACGACCTGGTATTTCTGACAATGTTATCCGGTCTACACACAGGTTTAGTGACAATGTCTGGATTAGCAACGAATATTCTGGTCCGGATCTCAAGGGTGGAGTAGTGTAAAGGCGTCCGCCACCAGATTTTGATCAGCGGGATTTGGTGGAGCTATAATCCAAGCAAGCAACTACCAGTTATTTTGTATTAATTTTTCCCATCGTTTTGGTTTGGTCTATTTTTATTTGATCGGCATTCTGTTTAGCGATGAGTGCAGTATTATGCATATTTTAACTTGATTGATAATGGATGACGAGGTTGAGTTTACGGGAAAAAGGGAAATTTGGGACGTTTCTCTATTTTGTACTATATTGGTATCATAACTACTTGGAGGATTGGCTTTTGTTGTGTTGAAGGGACTGTACTAGTTCTCATAATACCATTGCCGTGCCCACGACAAAACAGGGCTGATGACGAACGGCAGGGTATTTGGTGGGCAAAAGCGAAATGGTCATAGGAGGGCAACAAAAAATTACTCGTTACTTGTCCCTGTTTGTCATTGGCTCAATTCCATTGCAAGTATGGTTAAAACTATACGAGTACTCGGGGGTCCGTCATGGCGATCTAAGGATTATTTGATGGGACAGTAATGTTTCCTGCCAAGAGATACAATGCGACAAAAATCGAAACCCTAGACTAGCTGCCTCAAAGAAACACCCAACTGGACAAGTGAGACACAAGGTTTAGAAGGAACATTCATTATCTTAGGGAGTTGGTTTAGAATTCTGCTAATTCTGCTGGTATTATCATATTGTTCTGCGATATCATACCTGGCAGCTTACTCCCACTTACTACTGTCTCCAAAAGGACCTCCAGTTTCCATAGCCACTAGAACAAGAATAATACCCTCGTCCAGAGTGTCGAGTCACTTGATCACTGAAAAGACTTGGGAATCCGATTTTTTGACCAAGTTCAACTAAGTGTTACCAAATCTGGCCTTAACACAATTGGCTGCGAAATTGAATATTCCAGGTGGATGAAGGATGCCGGAACTAAGAGGGATGAATGACATCATCCCGCCCATGGTACCCATCCAACATTAAAATGTGAGGGTCTTTTCGCCAAGACTAACATGATCCCGCCCTGTGCCCACCATCCTGCTGCTAGGAAGCTTCCTTCAACCTCACCCTCCCAATACCGTTACCTAATCTAAAGAAAGACAGGAAACCTTTCAAAACCCCCCCCCGGGTGCCGAACTGTCCACCTAGGTCAATTCTGATCTCCCTCCAGAAATACTCTCCCGCCGAGACATTCGTGCAGTGGTGGAATTCATCCTTAGCGGGAAGTGCGGAAGGAGAGTCTTTCTGGTACTATACCCCTCTTTACCAAAACGCCTCTTTCCCAAAATGCCTCCACCATAAGGTAACATGCCCCATAGTGTGGTGCCGGAACCTCCACCAATGCCGGTATCCTGGACTTCCGCACACCGAGTACAGGCCTCTACTCCAACCTCCAACCTCTGAACCGCTCTCACTCGGAGGCCGTCTTCGACATAAACCTTTGCCGTACCAATCCCCAACCTTCCTACAGCCTCGCGAAATCCCTGAACCCCGGCCAATTCACCCAGACCATCATACACGCCTTCATATCACTAATGGCAAAGAAGGACTTGCTTCAAAGTGCTTCAACAGAACATAGACATGCTGGAACGCGCCACAGGGGTTCCGCCGGAGAAGCTTGTCGAAGCCCACGGCTCATTCCCGGGACAGTCGTGCATCCGCTGTCACACTGCGTATCCGGCCGATAGGATGAAGAGGCACCTTCTCCCTGGAAGTGTTCCCCAGTGTGAAACTTGTGCCATGTTGATGAAACCGAATATTGTATTCTTTGAGGAGAGCCGAGGGAGTTTCATATAGGACTTAGAATGGTCGAGGAGGTGGACTTAGTGATCATAATGGGGAGCTCATGGAGCGTTTACCCATTTGCTGTGCTTCCCAGACGGGCGAGGGAAGGGGTGATCCGAGTTTTACTTAACAAAGAGAGGGCGGGAGGGAGTGGTGGCCGGGCGGACGACGTACTTTTGCTGGGCGGGTGCGATCTGGGGGTATGAAGGCCGGAGGAGGAGCTGGGGTGGACAGATGAGCTGGAAGAAGTTTGGATGTCAGTCAGAGGTGGGGGTAGCAAGAAGGCAGAAGGGGAGGAAGAGAGCAGCGAAGATGCCGAACCGGTAGAGAGCATGGATGCGAAAGTCTGCCGCCTGACTGAAGATGTTGAGCGTGGCCTATCCGCCGTTGACGGCTGAAAGGACAACCTTATGCAAGACCTCCCCACCAGAGAGACGGATTGTTAGAATGGCCGAGGTCAACCTTTGTGGCGAGAACAGCCAAGTCAACCTCGTGGACCAAAACAATGCTTGTAGGTGCCGCGGCCGACCAACCAACTGGTTCTTCCGAGGATAGGACTAGCCTTGATACTGCTGCCCGGGGACCGTAACATCTGGTGAAGAAAGTTGGCAGTGCGGAGGGTGAATGATTTTCATAAATGTGGGGTGTGGGGGTGGGAACGGTTGAATTTTCAGTTTTAGCTCTGCCTGCTTTTTTGGTCCTCGCTGTATGTTAGTTGGTCAGTTTTTCCCGTTCAGCAATAGGTACCTATGATATACCTTGCCCTTTTTGCATCAGACGTTTTCTGTTGGCGGAGTGGTCCTAGCATGAGACCATTCTACCTGGGGTGGTGGGTAAGTCTGGCGAAGTCATTCTAGTTGGCTCGTTGGCCGCTTAGCCAATCATGGGAGTGGTATGGTTTGTTTCGTTGTCAAGCGTTCGCCGTGCTTTTTTCCACCTTGAAAATTGTACCAAGATCGGCCGCCCCAATGGCTACAAACGAGTAATTTTTTGCGTATGCAAACAAAGTTCGCCGTACCAGACTTTTTTATTTTTATTTTTATTTTTTAGGCCCTGTTCGGGAAACTACTGTAATGGTGCTTTGTGGGTGTTATGCTCGGGGTTACAACAATATTGTCACACTTTTTGTCTGAAAATTGGGATAGAGTCTAGCCTTTCGGAACCATAGAATGTACAGAACTAGTTTTCGGGCCCTTACGGTCCCTGCAGGTAACATACTGTACAGTACATGATCGCACAGTCGCAACCCTTTCATAAAATTTCTTAAGCCTTAAGGAGATTACTATATTTTCAGATTGCATTTTATAAGGTTTGCAAATTCTGCCTTTCAAATATCGTGTTGCCAAACACTGTTCACCCTATAAGCTGCCTTTTGCACCCTATTGCCCTACAAACGCTGGCGTGCTAAACAACCCTTAAGTCACTGTATTGGTTTAGGAAGTTTGCTAGGGTTTTGTTGTAATTTGTATAATATAGTCTGTATGATCTCGCACGCAGAAGGTTTCTCGATCTTGGTTTCGTCTTTTATCGGCCTCCCTATATTCGTACTTTGTATCTGTAGCCGTGCTTGCTACCCGTGTCTGCTGCCCTTGTTTCTTTTCACTTCCTTCCCGTATCCTTATGCCTTTATATACACAGCAGATAGAAGGAAAATTCTGCTTGTCCTCCGAAGATGATCACACTATCCCCGCTCTTACCCCTCTTTTAACTATCTCCTTGTGTTTCTTCCATCTTCTATCCTACCCCACTTTGTATAACCAATCATCCTTTCTATGATCTCCTCGTGCACTACCATTTCCCTTGACCCCTCCCGCTGGCTTCATACCAAGGTGGTCTAGAACCCCCTACCCCGCTCGACAAATAACAAACTCATAAGCATTACAAATAAGAAATCAATCCTTGCTGTGGGGGTCTCGAATATCCCTCAATCAACTTAGTCAGAGTACCGGCGATTTACAACACCCCCTCTCGCCGGTGCTCCTCCCTTCCTTCCTCCGCGGTATGGCCATCACCCATCATCGTCGAATCTGAGTCGTTGCCAGAATCCTCCTCGGCTGAGCTGTTGTCTAGTAGTAGGAATAGTGACTGGGTCATTAGGCCTAAGTTCTGACAGTGTTTTGTAAATGCGGGTTGTGGTAGGGCTTTAGTAAAAATGTCGGCGGTCATTTCATCTGTTGGGCAATAGGTGAGGTCGATGCTGTCCTTTTCAACGTGTTCCCGGATAAAGTGATACTGAATGTCTATATGCTTAGTCCGTGCATGAAATTCCGGATTTCTGGCTAGAGCTAGAGCTCCCTGGTTGTCGACTTTGATGTGGCGAAGTTGATGGTTTGCTGCTCCTAGGTCTCCCAAAAGGCCTTGGAGCCAAATGGATTCCTTTACGGCCTGAGTTAAGGCCATGTACTCAGCCTCTGTCGATGATAGGGCAACGCTTGTTTGTTTCTTGCTGTTCCAGCAAATGGCCGCTCCTGTAATAATGAAGGCAAAACCTCCAATAGATCGGCGATCTTCTCCAGCTCCCCAATCGGCATCGGTATATCCAGTTCCTACTTCATTGCTCCCTAGCCGGTAGCATAAGCCTACTTCCTGTGTTCCGGCAAGGTATCGTAAGATCCTTTTCACGGCAGTCCAGTGTGCACTGCCAGGATTGTTGCTGTATTGGCTAACCTTTGCCACCGCATATGCTATGTCAGGCCTTGTACCGAGCATAGCATACATGAGAGAGCCAACCGCTGCCTGGTATCGCTTTCGGTCTTCCGGTGTTGCTGTGTATGTTGTGGGAGATTTATTGAGTCGTACATTGGTATCGGCCGGGGTCCAAACTGGGTTACAGTCACGCATACTATTAGAATTCAGTACCTTGCGGATGTAACTGCTTTGGGAGAGGTGTAGAGTCCGCGATCCTCGATTTCGCCGTACCTCCAATCCCAAGAACGATTGTAGGTCTCCTAGATTGGTCATCTCGAACTCCTCGCTGAGGGTATCCTGAATCCATGAGATAGTCTTCTCCGATGGGGCGGTAATTAAGAAGTCATCGACATATAACAGCAAGATAACTTGCCGGCCATAGTGGACAAATAGGCTATGGTCATGGTTACTGCGGGTAAATCCTTGCTGGTCAAAGAACTGATGAATTCGTCCATACCATGCTCGTGGAGACTGCTTCAACCCATAAATTGACTTTAGCAGTCGGCAGGCATAGGGTATCCGATATCCTTGTCTCTCCTTCCTTGGTGATAGTATAATACCCTCTGGTATATCCATATATACCGTTTCGCGCAGCTCACTGTTAAGAAAGGCAGTCTTAACATCCATTCCTTTAAGCTCCCAATCATTTTCGGTAACCAACGCTAACAGGAGTCGGATGGTGGTAAACTTTGCCACCGGAGCATATGTTTCCTCGTAGTCAATTCCGTACTCTTGACTGTATCCTTTAGCAACTAGGCGTGCCTTATAGCGCCCATCGTCTTTCTGCTTAAATAACCAACGGCATCCTATAGTTTTTCTGTGCTGTGGTAGCGGCTCGATGGTCCATGTCTTGTTTTTATCTAATGAGTCTAGTTCGTCCTGCCATGCCAATCTCCACTTGTCTTTATCCGGTCCGCTTAAAGCTTCGGTTAATGTTTGAGGTTCTAACGCAATTTGACTTGCCACTAGTGCATACCAAGCCTTTGGTCAGAACAGGTCTATAGGCTTTCGTTGTCGGGTTGATCTCCGTGGTTTTTCTTTCTCTCCTTCTCCTTCTTCTTCTTCATTCTCATCCTCTCTCGGTGACAGCTCATGTGTACCCTCTTCCATTTGGGCTGGTACGCGGAGTGTGATACTATCCTTCATTCCTGCCGGTGAAGTTGACTTATCGCTGGAGTCGGTAGGGCTTTTTGAATGATTCCAACTCACTTGGTTACTCTGGTCGGGTTCTTTTCCCCATTCTTTTTCTTCATCAAATCCTTCCTCAATCATCACGTCCCGGGAGACTAACATCCTCCTTTTTCCATGGTTATATAGTCGGTAAACGCGGGCCCCCGCATCTTCCTCATACCCCACCAGAATGCAATGCTCAGACCGTGGATCCAATTTTTGACGTTTCTCTTTTGGTATGTGGACCCAGGCTGTTGATCCAAAGACTCGCAGATGACTGACATCCGGTTTCTGTCCAGTCCAGAATTCTATTGGTGACATGTCATTACGACTGTGTGATGGGAGTCTGTTGTGAATATGGGCCGCGGTAAGTACAGCATAGCCCCAGAATTCCTTTCCCAATCCCGCATCCTCTAACATACATCGAGCAGAATCCATGATTGTCCGATTTGTTCGTTCCGCTAACCCATTTTGTTTTGGGTTATAGGGTGGACTAATAATATGTTTTATCCCTTTTGCTTTTAGGTAGTCCTTGAACTCAGTGCTGGTGTATTCCCCTCCGCCATCGGTCCGTAATGCGACTATCGTCCTTTCGCTACTTCGTTCAGCCCGTGATAGGTACTCATTGAACGCCTTTCCTGTATCGTTCTTCCGTTTCAGTAACGATACGCTGACTCGCCCACTTTTCTCATCCACAAAGGTAACAAAATATTTCTCTCCATTCAGACCTTCCACTTCCACGGGACCGCAAAGGTCTGAATGAACCACCTCCAATAGTTCTCCTGCTTTATCACGCTTTCCCGTTGCTGCTTCTCTATGCTGACGACCTATGGCACATATACCACAGATTTCACCATTTTTCCTGGTTCTTTGGTCTATCTGCATATTCTGAACACCCTTGGAGATATAGTGGCTTGAGGCATTATCCAACCATCGGTGTCCAAATCGGCGATGCCAGACTGACAATGGGCATGGAGCAGACTTGGAGGTCGCAAGTCCGAGTTTGGCTGTTTCTTCAAACTGGGTTGAAGGACATGGTTCTTGACTTTCGAGGTAATACAGGCTTCCATACCGGTAGCCAATCTCGTTTCGAATTCCCTCTCGGCTAACATAACAGTTTATAGGACCGAACTCCACCGCATAACCGCTGTCTACCATTCGGGAGACTGATAGTAGGTTACCCCCCATATCTGGTACGTGCCAAACTTCTTTTAATATAACTGATCCCTCTTTGGTATGAAGCTTTACATCTCCATATCCTGTCGCAGCAATCTTGGTACCGTTGGCGATTGTGATCTCTTTTCGTGGGTTTGTTTCTGTATAGTTGGAAAACATACGAAGTTCGTAACATAGATGCTGACTGGCTCCAGAATCGATTATCC